CCTCTCCTCTCCGCTCCAGGTTATTCCTTCAGATCAGTAATCACTGGCTAATTCTCCCGTGTCAGTGTTGAATACACAGGCATCGCCATGTGAATCCCATTTTGCTGGGGAGTAACTATAGGTTTGGAGAAGAGAAGGGAAGAAGACATGCAGGGGTTATTCAGTCTCTCACTCGCACCTTTCTATCCTTTTTCAAAATAAAATTTTTGTTAATTGTGCCCTCTGGAGAAGAGCAGCATGTAAGCTGCCTAGGTAAATTAGGACAGCCTAGTGTTTGATTTTCTTTGTTGTTCATTGGGTAGACCAGCAGGACCACTTGGATTTCCAGCAGCTCCTGGATGTTGAGTTTAATGTGGTTTTTCATTGTGCATCAAATCCTGTTTCTCAGTGAATCATCTTTCCTATCTATGCTTCAAATTTCATGATATCTGAGCTGTGATAAAGACATTGACCATGTTTCTGCTACTTTGGCAAGCAGTAGCATTCATTTCCAGTCCCCAAAGGAGCATGCTGTTCCTTAGTCCTTGTGTTGGTTTATCTGTTTCCCATAGATGTCAGGCTTGGTGCCTGACTGCTGCTCTTTCAGGACAAGACTTACCTAACTGCACACACTGTCAGACTTGGGCCCTTTTCTCACTGGCCTATCCATCTTCCCACTTCCCTCTCTGGACCTCTGAATTTTTCTGACCTACATGGATTTTCCTTATAATTCCAGGAGTGTGACTAGTTTAGAAGTGACACTGCATCTTCTTTGTGATCCCTAGTACCTTACCTGAGTCCGGCAAGTATGAACAGACTGGAGAAAAGGAAAGAAAGAACAGGCGGGCAGGTGGAGTGATTTTCTCAAGCATTATCAATGATAATACTGTTTCTAACATTCCGCAGGTCTCTCCTTCTTTATAGAACATCAGAGGGTACATATTTAGGGGATGTAAGACAATGCCAATAGGGATTTTTTAAGTTTCAGATCAGAAACCAAGAAAGAGGGCACTGAATGGAAAAACGTGCATGGACAAAGGCTGAAATAGAAGAATTCACTCAGAGTTCTTTTTCCAGCTTAGGTTTCCTTGCTATCCACTGACGTGAAGAACCAGGTTGGAGATTAGCAGAGGTAAAATTTAACTAGGGAGGTAATTCTGTTTAAAAATAAATGCAATAAATGCAGTAAATATCAAATCTTATTTCCAGAGAACCATCTATTTCAAAATTTCAGTGTCCTTTCATTCAATAAGCTTCTGCATCAATGAACTGAAGACTATATACAATGGAATTAATCAAATGCATGTACAAACACACACACTCATATATGGGCATGTATGCATGTATCTTATTTTAGGATATTACCCATTCTCCTCAAGATGATCTTGGAAGGAAAAATAATCAAATTAATATTGTTGGTCATGGGTAAGTCAGAGCTTTGATGTTTGTTTTCTCTCAATCCCCTTTTATGTACATTTTGAACTTTCTTATCTTCCTTTCTGTTCAGACAGGCAAGTGTCCAGGAGGAGAGTATGTATTGTTCTAAACATGGCTTTAGTATTTTTAGAGCATTCTAATAGCATTGCAGAAGATCAGGAATACAAATCAAATTTGTCAGGCTTCTGCATGCACATGTTGGGTGTAACTGAATAACTCCAAGTTTCCAATGGCTCACTAGTCAGTTTGGGTTCATCACTAATCAGTTAGCAGTGAAAAAGAATTGTGGACAGGACCCACGTCCATGTCTTGTTCTGCTAAGAAATGCATTGTCTTATTTTTTTAAAGATTTATTTTATTTTTATTGGAAAGGCAGATATACAGAGAGGAGAGACAGAGAGGAAGATCTTCTATCCGATGATTCACTCCCCAAGTGAGTGCAATGGCTGGAGCTGAGCCAATCTGAAGCCAGGGGCCTCTTGCGGGTCTCCCACATGGGTGCAGGGTCCCAAAGCCTTGGGCCGTCCTCGACTGCTTTCCTGGGCCATAGGCAGGGAGCTGGATGGGAAGTGGGGCTGCTGGGATTAGAACTGGCTCCCATATGGGATCCCGGGCATTCAAGGCGAGAACCTTAACCACTGCACCATCGTGTCGGGCCCCACATTGTCTTATATATTTACCTAGAATATCTCTTCTGCCCAGCCAGACAATTTTGTGAAAACTTCCAGATGATTCTACCTATAGGTTGTCATGTCATTACAAAATAAGATTGATCTATAAATAGATGCAAGCTGAAAGGGCTCTTTCATTCTTCTTCTGTTGGATAATTTTTGTATGTGTGTGTGTAAAAATATGCCAATGGAAGAGGCCACTATTAAACTGTCTCATTGGAATGACTTTCAAATCTTTCCCTTTGTTTGAAAGAAAAAAGTGGGGGGGGAATCCTATGATAATTCAGAGACTTTCAACAAAACCAACAAAATACACAAATATTTCTGGTCTAATTATGAAAGAAAATGGAAGAAAGAAAGGCAATTAGGATACAGAGAAGGAAGAAAAATCAGATTGAAACCGCTCTGCATGGAGATCCAGTTTTTCGGTACCTTTGTGCTGGCTGTAGAGAGTAAAGTCATGCTTTACTAAAAACCAGCCATCCAGTGTTCTTTGTTTTCTTCCTGGAGAGTGTTTCAGGAGGAACAGTAATTACCACCATGTCATTAGGCATTGAAGAGATAGGAAGTGGCCATGCAAGGAAAGCATTTCTCCTAAGTAAAAGGAGGAAAAATTGAAGGAGGCAAAGGAAAAAAAATGTTGCCAAGGCACCTGGCATGTGCATTTGTCTGCACTCTTACATTCCGCTGGACTGAACTCCTTCAACATGGGACTTTGTGTGGTTCATTGCTGTATGCTCAGCATCTGGAAAAGTGCTCATCACACATATTTGATGTTTAATAGTAGTACAACGGTGCTTCAAAAAGTTCACACAAATGGAATGAAAAGATAGATTTATTTTGGTACAAAAATATTTTGGAATCCAGGCTTACAATAGATTCTCAAAGAGTTTATGGAAAATGCATATTCTGAAAATGCATATTCTGAAAATGCATATTCTATGCAGATTAAAAAAAGGGGGGGGGGGTTTTGCACAAAGCAACCTTTTAATTCCATTTTCTCTGACCTGTTTTGAAGTACCCACATCCTCACTTACGCACACTGACAACTGGATATCCTGTGGGTTAACTGATTCCTGCCATTTTGTTATTATTTCAGCCTCTTTTGTTGTGGCTTTAGTTTGGGGTCATAAATCCTACCTTGTCCATAGATACAGTGAATGTTTGGTGTTCCAAAAATAACTAGCCTCCACTAGTTTTCGAAGTATTAGCTCAATTGTGTGCTTTTTCTGTAGCTCTTAAGAAAAGTTATCTTCTGGGCCCGGCGACATGGCCTAGTGCCTAAAGTCCTTGCCTTGAATGCACCGGGATCCCAAATGGGCGCCAGTTCTAATCCCGACAGCTCCACTTCCCATCCAGCTCCCTGCTTGTGGCCTGGGAAAGCAGTCGAGGATGGCCCAAAACTTTGGGACCCTGCATACATGTGGGAGACCCGGAAGAAGTTCCTGGCTCCTGGCTTTGGTTCGGCATAGCATCGGCTGTTGCGCTCACTTGGGGAATGAATCATCGGATGGAAGATCTTCCTCTCTGTCTCTCCTCCTCTCTGTACATCTGACTTTCCAATAAATAAATAAATCTTTAAAAAAAAAAAGTTATCTTTGCATTTATCAGTATGAATGAAATGTTGCAAAAGGAGCCTGATCGATTGATTGACACTCCTGTGTTGAAAAGCTTGAATCACAAGAGCTATACAAACTCTCTGTAGTCTTCACCCAGTGGGTATTTGTGGAAATATTTCTGTATATGTGACACTACAGTTGGTACTGTGATGGTCCAGCCCAGTCCTCTGGAAGACCTAGGGAGGAAGGTACACATGCATTCACAAATGCACCTGATAGAACCTCTGCAAGGTCAGGTGGAACCCAAACGAGACAGTTTGGGTTGGGCACAGCAAATGAGTTTCATCAGAGAAAGTGCTAGGAGGGAAGGTGCTAGAACTAAGGCTTGAAAGCTGACTAGGGTAGCAGCAAGGGAGTATGTTAAATGATGTAGTTGAGAAGAAGTATCTGCTGGAAGTGAAAGATTCTCCTGAGGATTAAATAAAACATAAAAATATCTGAATAAACCCAAACCCTTGCTACTCAGTGTGGTCTTACTGCAAGAGAAGTGGACATCCAGCCCCACCCAAACCTGCTAGACCAGAGCCTGCATTTTAGCCAGATTCCAAGGTGATTCCCTTGCATATTCACACTGGAAAAATCCAGACCTGTCATGTGTGGAGGATGGCATCCTCTATTGAGGGGGTCTGGGGTACTTGCTGGAACAGAAACTCATTCTTGAATGATGCAACAACCACGCGTGAAATTCATTGTGACTGCAATTATGGGAATCTACAGGGGGCATTAATGTGCCTGTGGCTGCTTCGTTTTGGGAACTTTATTATTCACAAGAGATGGACTGCTTATACAATGAAGCTGCTGTGATGGAGGAAATACACTGTGTAATGCTATGCTCCCTGTGCTAGAGTCATGGTCTTAGTCATACGATGTCTTAAGAGTTCTGTGTGCCACTTGCTGTTTCAGGAACACATATCACTATACCATCTCCTTCACTGCCAGGTGAGTAAGGGTGAGACCTGCTGCACAGTGTCTCATCGGGATCCAAGGAAACAGTGTGTAGCATGGCACTTGACATGTAGTACACAGGAGAGATTATTATCTAGATATCTGCATGTTAAATATATCTCTGAAACATCTAGTATGACCTGAAACCTGCAGTATGTCTATCAAGTGTAGAGATTTTTGTCACAGCTAAAATAGTCCAGTGAAATCAGTGCATTTCATACTCAATTAAAGAGAGTAATGTCAAGATAAAACTAAGCACATCAGTCAGAAAGACTGTAGTGAAAAGTGTAGAAACACCTGAGCTTTTGCACAGCACTCCTGGTAATCCTCTCTGTTTTTCACTCCCCAGGCATGCGCCAAGGCAATGACTATGGCACTCAGTACCGCTCAGCCATCTATCCCACCTCTGCCAAGCAGATGGAGGCAGCCCTGAGTTCCAAGGAGGACTACCAGAAGGTAGGGGTTCCCCAGCCCTGCTTGGGCCACAGAAATTCTGGCCAAGCCCTGGCTTCAGTCAGTGGACAATTTGGTCTGTCCACCTGCAGTTGTGTCCCACTGGTGCGTTTATTCAAAATTTCTGTCAGCCTCTTGGAGTGGAGCCATTGTGCCTGCAAAATGAAAGTTTTGGAGTGGGATATCATAATTTCTATTTAAAATCAATGCATCTTGACAAACTCACAACTTGTTAAAGCAACAGTCTTTCTCTTGATTTCCCTTTGTTCTTTTCTTCTGAATCCTTCCCTCTTTCTTTGAACTTCACAAGTTTGTCTCAGAGTTGTGGAGATTGTGAGTCCTAAGGTGCCAGATTTGTTGACTTCTTCTGGGCGCTGCAAGGAAAGGACTGACCCGAGCCCCCTCTCCTCGCCTTGATGATGTTTTCCTCTCCTTGAGTAGATTGCCATCACCTTCCCTTTATTTATGTCCTTTTCTGTGCCACATGTCCCACTCTCATGAGAACCCCAGTCATAACGGGTTAGGCCTCACCCAAATGACTCCATTTACTTCATTACCTCTGTGAAGATCCTATAAGGTCCCATTCTGAGGAAGGGTTTAGGACTCCAACATATCTTTATTTTTGCCAGGGAGAGGGGAGGCAATTCAACCTAACCATCTTTCTCTTGCAAGTAACCATGAAATGAATTGTAACAAAACGTTTCTCTTGAATATGTTGCTTCATGAAGCAGTTTTCACTATTAATTGGTATATATTTTAAAAATATTCCTCAATAGAAATTTTGTTCTTTTAAAACCAGTTTGGGTTGCTTTAATTTTTAGAGCATCATGGGAATGCTTACATTTTAATAGTCATTATACATGTGGGTGTTGGATTCAGATTCATGTTTAACAATAGAGCTAGTACCTTCTATCATGCCGATCTATTTTAGAACAGAGCGGAAGGTCACAAATTCAACAGCTTCCAGGACTGTGTGGGCTCTTTACTGATCACCATGCTTGTGGAGGGGAGGCAGTAGGGAGCCTAGAACAGATGTGCATCTGCTGGTGAACAGTAACAGGGCTCATGATTCATAGTCAGTTTGACTCTGACAGGCAGAGGGCTGAGTGACATGTTGGAGGGCTTAGTGAGATGCCGTTGGGGTCCCATTCATCCCTAGGCTACCTCACTTCTCCCATCTGTTGGCTGATAATGCTGGGCAGGTAACCTGTAGAATGGATGCAGTGGTCTCTGCCAGCCATGTAGAATCCTCTCTCCTTATCTATGGGCTAGATTTAACGATTTTGGGGAAGGGCAGTGATACGATTCCCTTCTGAGACAAGGCAGTTAAAGTACTGAGACTCCCTTCTTGGAAGCTCCTGCTGTATTTCATTCTCTCTGTGTTTGCTTGTCCTGGAGGAAGCCAGCTACCACGACACAAGGGAACCATGTGTGAAAGCTCATGTTTCAAGGATCAGGGTCTTGACATGCACCATGTAGGTCAGCTTGGAAGCACCTCGATCCCTATCAAGCCTTCCGATGAGACTGCAGGCCCACCTAGCTGACTGTAGCAGCCACATAGGAAGATCTTGAGCCAGGGGAGGTCATCTGTGTTATTTGCCATATACCTGACATCTACTTAGACAGTGATAGACCTTATTTAACTCAAGCCAACCTGTTAGGGAGATCTCATTATTGTCCCCATTTTTTCTCACCAGAACCAAAGAAAAATAAGGCTGTAGGCAAGGAGATGAGTTGGGCAGCTATACAGGATTCCAGTGAAGAAATGATGGGCACTGCTCCTGGGATGGTCAAAGCACCAGTGGAGTGAAGGGGTTCTTAGGAAGTAGAGCGAATCAAATTTAGGACCTGATTGGAAGTGGAGAATCAATGAAAAAGAGGGAAACAGGGACTTTCAGATTGCTGGTTAGTGATGTTCTATTCTGTGATATGGAGAGGAGCAGAAGCAGATCTATGGGGATGGTGAGTCAAGTTTCAGAAATGTGTGTGATGGAGCATAGAGGACAGAAGAAATCAATCAACTACCCCAGCCATGTGTTTACAGTGAAAATCTGGGCAAACGAAGATTCTAAAGTGAAATATGTCAGCCATTGGATTCTGGAGACATTTCATCATGCTTGGAATGGCGAGATTGGCAGCAATTCAGAACTGTTGAACTATCAAAACCACTTCAACAGGACCCTTGGAGCATGCCTCACATCAGGACCTGGGATGGGTAGGAGGCTGGGTGGGGCTTCTCCCTTTTTCTTTCCCCTTACCCCAGATACAGAAAGAAAAATAACAATAACGTGGAAAAAAAATGTGTGAGGCACCTGTGACGTGGACATCTAAGTAGTTGTTGGAAGGAACTGTGCTCTGTTCCTATCTTTCAGGGAGAGCTGGTATAACTCACTGGGTTAAGGTTTGTGAAGCACAGGGCCTGGCACGCAGGAAGAAAGTGTTCCTCAGTCTGCAAGATCTGTTGTTGTTTGGTATTAACTTGTATGCAGAGCATGAAGCCTTAGTTGCTCAAAAACTCACAGAGGAAAAGTGATGAAATGAGAAAAAGAAAAAAAAGGAAGCTTAGGACCTGAGCAACAACCACACTTAAAAGGCAGGTGGGGGAATATCTATACGTGGTAAGGCACATATTAGGTGCTCCAAGCTTGAAGTACAGTTCTACGTGGTTTAACCCTCCTCTATTTAATTATAAAGGCAATGTTTATAATTAATACTAACAGTCACATATGATTCATGTTCTGTGTAAATTACTTACAGTAATGATTTCTGGTCCCATAGGCTACCAGCAGTAGTGTCGGGAGACTCTGGAAGAACATAACTCCCCCCCACCCGAACATCACAAAATGAGCTGATAGTCTGATGCTCACATGAAGAGGTCAAGTTCAAAAGGTCAGGGCCTTCCGTATGTGATGATGAAGAGGCTTCCTTATTCCTCATTTTTGAGCATCTACCTCCACAGCTTCTCAGCCCTGAGAAGAACCCATGTTGATTTTAGATAATTGATATCCTCAAGAGATAAATTCGGGTATTAATTAATGAACTGTTTTATTCATTCCTCCATTATTTTTTGTGGAGTAGTTCAAGTGATTCTCTGGGACTTCTGTTAGGGCAAAGACAGAAAAACACAAATTTACTTTCCAGCAGGGCATCTTGCCAAAATTATAGTTCTATAATACATAGTTATATATAATTTATACAGTATAGTTATACATAGCATATGTGCATATAACAACCAAAGTAATAGAACAGCAACAACACCATGTAGCAACAATTATGTGCATATAATAACAACAGTGTATGTGCGCATAACAGCAATAGTAATGAACAGCAACAACTAAATGATTATTTCCTACAGGCTAATCACTATGTAAGAATTTCCCATCAATGAAGTCATATATAAATCTTTCTATTTGTCTGTATGTAGGCACACAATACAATAGCTAGTTTAGATGTGGGTATCTGTTGGTATCTTTATAGAAAATTGCGTTAATTCATTCATATGTTTCTGACACTTGTTTTCCTGTTTTGAAATCAGTTTGAATTTCTGCTCACTTAATTTGTATACTTGATAATGTGCACAGGAAAAATGCCAACAAATTTCAATACCTGTAAAAGACGGAATACTTACTTTTTTATACCATGGTGTCAATACTTACTTTTTTAATACCATGGTATCAATATTTTGTTTTACATTTACCTGAAATAGTAATATGGTTTCTAATGGAAGCCACAAAGTAGGAGAGATTGCCAGAGCTTACCAACTAGCTTCAATAGGACATCAGGAAGCTGAGGGGGTGACTAGTGACCTTGGAATTGCCTTTCCTGCCTTTTATATCTATGGCAACCTTGAACAAATTCCTCAAAGAAGAAAAGCATTTAGTCTTGGGAGTGTTGTTTCTTGCTACCAACAGATGAGTCTAGAACTTCATAACCCCATCAAAACCACATAGGTCTACTCCTAAGAGCAGGGGAGTTCTTAAATATGCTGTTTTCCTCTTTAAAGCCTGGCATTTCTGGCCATGTCCCTGCATTCTGGGAGTTCATTGTATCTGAGCCTGGTGGGTCTCTTGTGCACCGACTGTAACATTGACTTAGGTTACTAATGTAATCGTCTTTGCTAGCTTGCCCCCCAGTGACCTCCTAGTAACAGCTTCTTCAGCAACTTGTTTCTGTGTGAAGTTTAGAGTGACAGTATTGCTTACCACAGAACAGTCATTTGAACATAAAATTAGCTGATTTTATCACAGGGACCAATTGTTGCACTAATTAGATATGCAGTACTGCTGAGAAGCCAAAAACCAAAAGTCATTTTCCATGTAAACCATGGTTTTCTGCAAACTCGGCTGGGTCATGGAGTCCAGACTCCCCAACAGCCACCAGAAGGGAGAAGGACCAAAGAAGTTGTCTACCAGCTCACCAGCTTGCAGGAGCCAGGAAAGTCCTGCAGAAGAGGAGCATACCTTAAGGGTTGCAGCTTGAACTATGTATTGACTGTACTCATCTAGAGGGTGCTGAATCCTGCTCACACAACTTGACAGCTCCAGTCTGTGGTGAGTTTTTTGTTGTCTTTCAAGGAAAACTTTGTTATCCTTTCCTAGCCTCATTTTCAAATTTTTATTTTTTTTCCAAGTGTTTCAGGATAGAATTATTTGTGGCATTCAATGGAGGAGATGTGTTATTGTTTTTCTGGTTATCAAACGTGGACAGTTTATCTCCATAGTGAACCTGTCAGGACAAATGCGTTTGAACACCCTGTACTGAACTGTGGCATCTGGGAGGAATGAACCGTGGTCCGTATGGATCCTTGCATCCAGAAGTGTAAATTCTTCCTCATTTAGGAATTAAGTAATTTGACCACTGATAGATCGTGTTTCTTGAAATAAGAACAACACTCAAAATCTAAGGAATGTTTTTCCTGGACATTAACTCCTTCTCAGTTCCTCAGGCTCCATGAGCAGGAAGCCTGACATTTCCTCTGTATATTTATTTTGATAAAAAGAGAA